TCATAGACGCAAACGATGCAGACATCTTCTGCTGCAGGTGCTCTAGCAGCGCGTTTTCTAAACTCTAAAACGCCTCTAAATGCGCACCGATTACCTCGGGGTTTTGTGTCACAAGGTGTTGCACGCCCTCAGGGCCAAGCAAGGACATCAGCGTATTGAGCCCGTCCCGCATGCCCTGGGGCAAAGAGGAAAATCCCTCCATCCTCACAGAGGATCAGTCGAAACGACTTAGGTGTAGATCAACTACTAGTGCTACCAAGTGCAGCGGGGCTGCCGTAGCTTTGCGCTTGAGGAAGCGTCTTTAGGTCACCAACCTTTCGTTCTTTACAGGAACCAAGTACTAGTGCAGCGGATAGCAATCCGCTGCCTCTAAAAGTACTCAAGAGCCTTAACCAAGGCAAACGAATTCTTCTGTTCAAAATCCAACTGATTTATTTATATTTCTATCCTAATGTAATAAGTTTAGATTTTCCTAAAGCTACAAAATATATATCGTAAAATCTAAATACATTCATCACTACTGGCTATCTAGCACGTATTCATGATTTAGGTGTGTGGTCACATTATGCACATCTCGTGTGACACGCACACACCCCTGTTAATAGGGTTCGTGTAATTTCCTTACAAGCAAGACATATCCCCATTACTCGCGCCTTACAGCTCTCTGTACCGTCAAAGTCCAGCTGAATTCCACGGTGTCATGCTGCCTCGATCTGTCTCGACAGGGCTCAAACCTTGAAAATCGTCAACAGATTGTCTAAACAACGCATGTACTGGAATACGGACACCTAAACAGAGATGACCTATTTAGTGCCAAATCAGAGGACTTTTTTACCAAATGACGAACAAATTTGTTTATTCTTCAAAGCAAAACACATATAAAGCTGAGATTAAAAACATAGATTTTGACATTAAATCGAGTATTCAACAGACGAAAAACAGGCGGTAAAACAGGCGGTAAAGGTAAAACACTGTCGCGTGATGATCATGTGGTACACGTACACTAGTTCACATGGTCTTTGAGAAGTATGCACATTACCAAGTTAAAAATTCTCAGTCTCAATTAATAAGCCGCATGCAAAAATTTCCGACCATATCATGCTACACGCAAAGGGCGAATTTATGCGTCTTTCATGTACGTGTCCATCTCATTGTCAAGATCCTCGGCAGACTTAGGCAACGAAGATTCTCTACCACGAACACTGTTACACAGCAAAATATTACACATTAAACACCAGATTCATGATAGCAAATTTGCATCGCACCCGTGGCTCCCTTTATCATTGCCACGTCCACGACGTCTACGGCGGCCTTTTGCCTGCTCGTTGTCTCCCCTATAAAACCCATACAATCGTTAGACCCCATTAAACTGAATTTCAGGGCTTTACCTACCCAAAGGAAACCTTAAACTTGACGTCTTTATCGCCACGTTGAAGAGCAGTACCAAAAAGGCCGTCACGAACGTTTTTGTCAGAGTCCAACAAAATCTGCATCGGCTGACCGTCCAACGTACGTCCTTCGGCAAAGTAATGGAACATACATGCAGCGGCATTAGCCTATAGCATATTGCAGCAAAAAAGGGCAAATTCTACCATCATATTGCTTGATCGCCTTGTCTGCGTCGGATCGACGTGTAAACCAAACACGAGCAATCCCCTTCGATCGGCCGGATCGGTCGTAAACAATCTCAGCTTTTGAGACGTCGCCTACCGTGCCAAAAAGCTCACGCACTTCTTCTTCTAAAATGTCGAACTTGAGGTTTTTTACAAGAATTTTTGTCCCTGGATTGGCCGCATCCCTACCGCCCAGGCGTGACAAGATTGATGATCCGCCTAACACCAAGCAAATTGTTATACACAGCGTCAGCAGCGCCTACAGCCGGAACGAAGGGGAAAAATTATTTGCGTACCTTTACCGGCTGCTTTTCCTGGCTTCTTGACGATCACCGAGCGCTTTTTGCCACGCAAACTGTTTCCGCCCTCGGGAACATCATTCCGATCAATGTCCATATCGTCGTCGTTTTCACCACGCTTTCGTACACCATGGGAGAAAATGCATGTGTGAAATCTTGCACCAACGATATACCCAATCCCCGAGCTACCAGGCAGGCGCTTTGTCCCCCCGTCACGAAAAATGAATGACGTCAACATATTATTCGTAGACGAAGAGGAGCAAAGACAGCCCTTCGTGGTGCGCAATACGGAGTAGTAGGGCAAGCAGATAGAGAAAAAAGATCGAAAGGCGATGGCCCTTCAGGTCGTGATAGCACTTACAGATCGCGAATAGGGCTTACTTCGACCGCGGTTACGACGATTTCCACTTCGGATAGGACCAGCAACGTCCTTCGCCTGGTGAGCCTTAGCAGGGCGTGACGCCGGGTTGGTAATCTTGGTCTTCTTGCGAGCAATCAAGTCGTCCAAACTCATGTCGAGCGAGGCGAGAATGGATGACATTGCTACATATCAAAGGGGGAGGCCAACTATATTAATATACGAAGAACACAGTAGTCAACTATGCAGGCGCACCGAGAAAAAGCGCGAGCTAGCTGGAGTGTGAGCCTTTCTTACCTGCAAAATTTCTACTGCGACCACAAATACTTTCGAGGGGACGTTGGTTTACAGAAAATTGCGCTACTTTCAAACAACATCTGAAAGAATGGAAACGGACGACACAGATCTAAAGTAAAACAATGGAAACCGGTCTACTTGCGGCATCGTCGAATATGATGGCCTCCACCCTATTACCTTACGTGCCACTACTGATGTGGTCTCAGCGCCCGTGCGTTGTGATTTGAATTGCAGCTGTACTATATGTCTGACAGGGTGGTGTTTGTTTGTATTATGAAGCATCTTTGCTGGATCCAATACTTACCTGAGCTCTGAGATGGATGAAACAGCTGTGGCGTCGGCAATTCAATCCGCAGTGACCCGTGAATTGAATGAGGATAAGGAGGTGCGCTATCAGCGTATAGTTTGATGGTCTTTTTGCACTGACCACGAGCACTGTAACAACTATAGGGCGTACTGAGTTCACAAACATTTTTGCCTGAACAGTCCGAGTTGATGTGCTTGTATCTTCTACCGTCATTGGCCTCTGAACAAATATCTCAACTTACAAAAAAAAGAAGCTCATTCATACAGAGTGCCATACAAAGCTCAATGTCATCAGTGGTGATTCCGCACACCACGCGCACGAAGCCACTTCTTCCTGGAATGGCAAACGCCAAGCCTCACATCGTCGGGATTGATGACCTGAAAATATTCATGACCTCCGCAGAAGGAAAGTCTATTTTCTCCAATGGCAAAACGGACCTGTTAGTCGTTCAAATCCCCTCATCGATGCCATTACTCGACGTGGATGCAGCGATTCAATCAGCCTCGATCAGTCTTAACGAGATTACAGGAGATAGAACGGATTTCGCTTTTACTGGCAACGACGCTACTTCGGTAGGGAACATTGACTTTTTTTCGCGTCATCTTGCTGCTCCGGCCCTCAGCGAACACAACAATTCATCTTCCGAGACTACACTATTGTGTGAGTCGGGTTATCTTGTTGGTCACAGCGCGACGGGCAAAGCTTTTTGCTTCTCCCACTATGTGAACATCACTCCCGATATTATGGCAGGTCTTCTCTTTGGGCTTATGTTCGTTTTCATAGCGTTCATTGGTTTGGGTGTTCTGCATCTAATCCAGACGCCGCAAAGGTACCCTCAACACGGAGCACCACGCGGCAAGGAGTTTTAGGGCTCTGATGCAAGCTTCGAAAGAGATTACTAAGATGCTAATGATAATTTTTCTGACATTTTTGATACCTACTGTGATCTGCCATACAAGACACGAATATGTAAGGAGCAACCAGTGCACGCCACGACATCCACGCCATCATGCAATTCACTTTCTGTTATCTCGTAAAATTCTCCGCAGCGGCACCGGTGACTATACATTACCTCGTTCTCGTCGCCGTTCTCACCATGCAAAGCTGCCCGTTGCATATCACTATATAACATCTCATCTGAAACGACCACTTTTTCACATATCCTCTTGCGCATTAGTTCATTATGTAGCTTGGTGTCGTATTGCTGTCTAAGAACCGAATCATGTAATGTCTCGTATGCTTCTTGCACCTGCAAAAAAAACTCTTTGTACACGCTGCCGGCGCTGTTAATCGCATTGAGATCGTTCAATTTCTTGTCGGGATGATATTTACGCGCTGCTTGATGATACGCGCGACGGACGTCGTCGGCGCTACAGGTGGCTGACACGCCCAGCACTTTGTAGAATGATGACTCGCTCATTACTAACTAGCAAATCGATGGACGTAACTTTTGCGTCTTTGACTCTCGAATTTTGATCTATATATAAAT